ATTTTCATAAAATAGATTTCCCTCCTGAACAGTATGACCTATCATTAGGCACTCAATAAACGGATCAAAACTATTTTCTCTGTGAGTGATCATTTCTGACTCTGAAGAACCATAAAACTGGTTACTTTCACATGGCCACATGATACTTGTCTATACTAATGAGAGGCCTTGATGAGTTGAAGAACGTGCTTTCAAGAGACAGCTGAGCTAGAGTGGAGTCTCCGAGATTCCCAACTGGAGGTCACTATATTAGAAGTTCCTTAGAACTTTCCTACTTCTTCCCCAGTTTTTCTGACCCTTTCTAGTTGGTTGATTATTCTACCACAAGAGGTCATGCTTGCATCTACTTTTAGAGTTCTGTAATTGCAGACTTAAGGGCTTGCTTTCCTTCCTTTGCCTGGAAGAAGCTATCTAACCCATGGCCTGACTGCCCATCCAGCGGTCATCTCAGCTCTGGACCTGAACACACTTCTCCTTCCTGGTACTTCTATGGAAGCCAGAATGAAGAGTTTCCTATGTTCTCCTCTGAGGAAGCATGATGGAATTCTGAACTCACTTTATGATATAGAGAAAATCCCCTTGTAAAGTCGCTGTACAGATGAACAAGTCAAAACTCAGGCAAGATATTAGAAGTCTGCCTTTTCATTTGAGGTACTGAACTGTAAAGGACAAGTTTACTATTGAGGTAGGAAAGGGGATCAAACTGCTTCGGTCCCTTCCCTCTGGGGTGGACACGGCATTGACAAAGCCAGTCAATTTTCTAGAAACAGCCATGAGAATTCTACTGAAAATTAGGACAGGGAAGTTGCTGCTGGCACACAGAACACGAGTAGAAAATTAGATTAGGACTTGCTCAGCCAACCTAAGCTCACTTTTCTCCATGTCTAATCTTGGGCATGGAGTGGATGATTTCTACAGTAATTCCATGTATAAAATTCTGCATTCCTAATAAAAATTCTAGTTCCTTTAGGGCCTCTGGCAGTACACACAGAGACAACTGCAGGGTTGTACTAAGACTCCTGCCCTGTCATTTACTACCAGAAGAACTGAGGCAAAATAGCAAGTCCCTGGAGCCCCTAGGCTCCCCATTTGTAAAGCAGGAATGATCAAGTTCACCTTTCCTAGAATAAAGATTAGTTATAAATAAAATTAGCTTTTGGTTGTTAATCTACTAGTTTTGATCTACTCTGTAATCTATTAATCTATAGTTATCATTATCTACATGGTTATATATGCAACTGTTACCACCCCAGTCATTTCTGTTTATGCTAGGGTGAGTGAATTCTTTCTCCTGACACTCACAGAAAAAATGAATACTCCTGACTTTAGTCAAAGTCTTTCCCTGCCAAAGGTAGAATAAAATCTTTGGCTAAAGCAATGCAGAAAATGGTTCCCAAACTTCAAGACCCATAAAACTTAAACATCTCATAAAATAACAATATTAATATTTCTGTAGAAATAATCATATTTGATGAGCAATTTGTTAATCTTATTTCCTATGGATCCTTCGGTGAATCCTCATTAGATTCTGACTGCATTTATTTATTTGGTTATTATAATATAAAAGACCTCTCATTACCTTGCCGTAACCACAAATCCAGCCTTGTCTGATACAATAAGCCTTGTGCAGCCATTCTGTTTCCTAACTGCTGCTTGCTTTCTAAGCCAAACAGAAAGACAAATACCACATGTTCTTACTTATGTGCAGCCTAATCAACCAAACACAAAGAAGCAAGGAGTGGAATGGAGCTTCGAGAGCCTAGGAAAGGGAGGATCTGGGTATGATAATTAAAGGACACAAAACCTCACTCAGGCAGGAAGATCATGTGTGAGACTTTTTTATCTATTGCAAAACACAACAGACATAACAAATAACCAAGTCCTGAGCACTTAAATAATATTAAGATAGTTAATTTCAAATGTTCTCATCAGAAAAATCATTAGATATTTGACATCCACGATAGGCTAATTAGCTTGATTTAATCATTTTATGTTGTATTAAAGCATTGTAACAAAACTTTGTACCTCATAAAATATGCAACTATGCTGTCAATATATAATAAGAAAATGTGAATTAAATTTACAAAGAAATACTGTTACAATTTCAATAGAGAATACTAGAATCAAAAGGAATAAGAATGTCAGCTGGTAAAGATAAGGAGGAGTGTGTTCCTTAAGCTCTGTTGTGGAAACACTTGATGTGCAGAAGCTTCTCTGGACACCAGTCACTTCCTAAAACATTAGACACATAAATACCCAGTAACTCCACTCAGGCTTCTCCAATCAACAGAAATGAAAGTGTATGTCCACAAGCAGCATTCAAAGCAAATACTCATTCAAACCAAAACATCAGGGAAACGCAGTAAATGGACAAACAAAGGAAATTAAAGCCACGGAATGTAGTGTTCTCTGCAATAAACGCAATGTATGTGTAATATAAGGAAACCTAAAATATCACAAATGAAAGATACCAGACTACAAATATGAAGTGTCACATGATTGCATTTATTCCTTTAAAAATTCTAGAAAAGGCAGAACCATAAAAAAAGAAGTAGATGCAATAGTTGTGTGAGATTGGGAGGTAAGGGCTAGAATACAGACAGGCTCAAAACAGCTCCATGGGAGGTGAGGGAAGTGTTTTAATGCTGATTTGTGAGTACTGCTGCATAGATTCATTTCAAATTATTAAATCATACACTTACATTGGTGAGTGAATTTAATGGTATGCACATTATACCATGCTAAAACTGAAAAGTTTAAAGTCTCAAACTTAGAAGTGCCATTCAACGACTATCTCCAGTTAAAACCCAGCTCTTCTCAAGCAGACTTAATCACACATGTGGCTTGAAAGAAAATGGGCCACATGGGCTCTTACATTTGAATACTTGGTTTCCCATTGGTGGAACTGTTCAGGAAGGACAAGGAGGTGTGAGCTTGCTGGAGGAGGTGTGTCACTGGGAGCAGTTTTTGAGGTTGCTCTCTGACTCCTACTTGTGGATTAAGATGTGCAGTCTCAGCTGCTCTTCCAGCAGCCTATTTTTTATGCCTTCACCCCACCATCATAGACTGTAGCCCTTGGGAGCCAGAAGCCCAGTTAAACTTTTATAAGCTGTCTTAGGCATAGTGTCTTACCACAGCTAGAGAAAAGTAACTAAGACACCACCCCTGACCAGGACTCTCCAGGACCCTCTGATTGTTATTCTTTTTTCCATTGGGCAAACATGGTGGATGGCAAACCACATACTAGTTATCTATCTTCCTCCTATCACCATGAGTACAATCAGTTAAGATCCACACTACTTTTATAAAGTCGATGCATGCTTATATTCAGTGAACAAATGCTGACTTGAAGTGTCCAATTAGGGTGACTACAGACTCAAAATGGCACCTTTACTTCTTAGTCTGTGCTTTATGCTTCCTTGGTAGCTCACCATGTCCTCCTAGAGACTGGATTTTCATCTGAAAATTTGTGTCCTCTGGTACTGATCACATAAATTTATTTCTGTGGTTTTTATCATATAGATCTAAAAAAATCTTTACCTCACTCAGGATTGCTGGTCATGAGAGTCACAGTGTTAAATGTCATCTGTTTCATTTATTTGAGAAGAAAGGTCTAGAAACAGTCAACCCATAGAGAAAGCAGGGTTCATGAGAACCATCCACCAGTTTGGTGAGGACCATATTAGGAGCTGGAAAGAATATGAAGCAGCCATCTTCCTGCCTTAAGACGCTCAAAATTTAGAAACCAAATGTGAATTCACATGTTAACAATGAAGAGGAAATCAGGTTTTTAAATTTTTAGCACGCCAAATATGCAAAATTTAATTCTCAGTCGAAATTTTCCAAAAATAAAATCTAATTATCAATTTCCTAAACTTTGCCTGAGAACTTTCCTACTGACATGCTTGCAAACATCTCTGATCTGATTAGTATTCTGAAAACAATTCTTAAAATTGCATCATCACAGACTTGAGTCATACCCCAAAATAATCTTTTAATTGACAGGAATAAGTCTGTGCTACAGTAATGAAAAGTTCTAACTTGCTTTTTGTTGCTGTGCTAAAACACTGACCAAAATCAGCTTGGGGAGAAAAGAATTTATCTCATCTAACAAACTGCAGTTCACCATCCTGGGATGCCAAGGCAGAATTTAAGGCAGGAACCTGGAGGAAGGAACTTAATAAAGCAGAAATTTATGGAGGAACAATGCCTGTAGGTATTCTTGGCCTGCTGCCTTTCTTAAATATCCCAAGCCCACCTACCCAGGAGTTACACTAACCACAGTGAGCTGAGTCCTCCCACATCAAACATAAATTAAGAAAATGCCCCCCCCACAGACTTCCTCATAGGCTAACCTGATAGGTGTAATTCCTTACTTTAGGTTCTTTCCTGAAACAGACTACGGTGATGAATAAGACTAACTTCAATACTATAACAGAATATTATTTATTTCAGTACTACAGTGAAGTAGTGCTTATTTTAGCATTAGAGTTTGGTATTTCTCAGCATATATATGTTTAACTTGACTTAGCAGTGACAATTAAGTTATATTGTATATGAATCTTGTATAGAATAGTGAAGAGGTTAATATCAACTAGAAAAAATGAACTCCAAAGAATCCCATGAGATGTTTTTCAAAAGCACATTTGCAAATTCTTCTTCCTTTGTTCTTTTCCAAAGGGAGAATAAAGAATATTTGACTGAAATATTTGGGGTCTGAGCTCATCTTTAGCCCATAGTCAGTATAACTACATAATCATATAATGTGTGTAAACCTTATTCATACACAAACACACACTTCTACAATACAGTCTTTTATAAACAGGAGGCAGGGGCATATCAATTAAGACATTCTACTAGCCCTGTAAAAGGCCACAGTGTTTCAGGACAACAGCAACAGGGAAAAGCTGTTTCCCCTATGGACGGTCGCATCATCACAGAGTTGTATCATATCCCCAAATGATTTTTAAATGGCCATGAATATGTGTGGAAACACTTACATTGAAGTCGTACAACACGCCAAAGTTGGCTGCAGATGCCTCTTCAGCTCTTGGAACTGTTTTCCTAGGTAAGCTGCCGTATGGTAAACCCCAGAGGTACTAGTTGAAGCAAAAAAAAGAGCAGTTAGCAATTGGACACAAAATCTGAGCTACACATGTGATCACAAATGGTTTCATTTAAAAACACTTCTGAGCACTTTTCATTTGGACTCTGTGGGTCTCCATGTGGGGTCTCGTTTTCTGGGAATCCACAAAGTCCAGAATTCAGAACAAAGGAACTAAAGCCCCTGCACCCTGAGTTCACTGGATGAAGCGCAGAGCAGGCCAACCACAATCACCAGGAGGCTTGCTGGGGAGCCCATGCTCACGACCACCATGGTAGTAGCCATACATAGAAGAGGGGAGGTAGTCTTGGGGGACACCACAGTGTTCAGCAAAATGGTACGACCCACAGTTTCATGGAAGAGGAGAGTTTCAGGAGAGGAGCTGGAAGGAGGGTTCAATGGAAGGGACTAAGGCCTCAGGAAAACCAACCCTGTGATCAATCAGAGGATGTCTCCTGGGAGCACACGCGCACGTCCTGACTACAGCAGCCCCTGTGCCATCTCCATCGGAATCTATGCTATGAGCTAGCAGAGAAGCCATGTGATAGAGAACAGCGTGGGAGAGCAGTGGATCAGGAACGAGGCAAGGTCACATGAAAAAACCATAGAGCATCATCCATCCCCGACAGCCGGCCAAGCAAAAGCTGCTTCAGATGTGAAAAGAACTTTCCCTCTCTTTGAGTGAGTTAGTAAGCGCAGGTAAAAACCTGAGTTCAGAGGCTGACCAGACAAATGCTAGGAATTAATCCCTGCTGATTCCTTTTGTACAAAAGGCGTGATCTTGCACTACAGCTTCCTGAACTGAAGAGGAAGTGCTTTCTCCACACTGGGCTTCACTCCAAAGTCAAGAGGCACAGAGAACAAACATAATCGAGTTGTTAGGCTTGTAGAGAAGCATGTAAGTCTGCAACAAAAGACCACATGCCCCAGAACAATTCTAGGTAGGGCTGCTGGGTAGAGGCAGCTATGAAATATGACCATGTGGTTGGAACATGTTTAGCTCTGGTCTCTGGTGTTTCTGCACAGTTAGCACACAGGGAACTCACTATCCTTTGTTCCTATTCAGGAATTAGAAATCATCAGGAAACAAGATGTCCTTTAGTATCTCACATACATGTACACGCACACACACACACACACACACACACACACACACACACAGAGAGAGAGAGAGAGAGAGAGAGAGAGAGATCCAAAGGCAGGATAATTCCCAGCTCATTCCATCAGTGTGCGCACTGTGCTTTACATAATCTTGTAGAGTTCAAAGGATTAACAACAGCATTTCATTCCCTCTGTGCGGAGCTGGCCCAGCATATGAGGAAAAGACTCCAGGCTCTACCTGCCTCCGAAGCCAAGGAGAGTAGCAGCAGGCAGAGATGGAGTGCAGGGTTTCAGGTTTCCTTAGATAGAGGAACAAAAATAAAGCATGGCTTCATCTGAGATGGGTGAGATACGCACATTTGGCTCCACTGCCTGAAACTTTTAACTTGGGTAAGAATCTATTCCCGCTGTCTCCTGAGCCAAACAGACTTCGAAGCCCCAGAATTGTCATGGGAATTATAAAACTAGCTGACTAAAATGAAAATCTGGATGATAAAAGAAACATGGGTCCTAGACGCAGGCCAATTTGCCAAAAATACTAAATAACTTAGCTATCATTAATAAGTTGCATAAAACCTAATCTAGGTGTTTGAGGCTATTTCATACACAGGTAGAAAATCTCTATAATCTTCTCATGACCTTGTGAGGCTCCATATACGGAATGTGAAAGGACTTTGCTCTGTGGAAAGCCAGCACCTCTTTAGGACTGTAAGATAATATTATTCTGCTCCCGAGGAGCCTTGTTACAAACATCAGAGAACTCACTGACTTTAAACAGGGTGGATAGAATGCCATTCAAACACCCTGTTTTGACTATTGACAATGTTGTCTTGAACAAATTGGTTTTAAAATACTGGTAGCAGAACAGGTTCTGTGCAGGGTAAACAAATTTGCACCCAGCTTTGGAAGAGTAAGCACTCCAAGACACCTGAGTGGCTTCATGCCGTGGTGCCAGCAAGCACCCTGGTGGTTTGGCCTTAACTCAGTCCTCCCACATCAGTTTCTCCTTCAGCCTAGGCCCTCTGTTTTTGATCTTAAAACACTCCATAGTCACTGACCCCCATCAACTGTGTGCATGAGACAAATGAAACTTTATTGTCAAAGAATCCCACTGGTGTTGTGTTCCTTCAGTTTAGAAAAGCTAGACCATTCAGTTGTGAGAAGAAGAACTTGGAAAGCAAATTTTGAAAAAGTAAATACAGCTCAGTAGGCATCCCACTGACCAATAGTGCTTAACATTAGGCCACAAACCAATGTGATTTTGATTAAACCATGATTTTCCCTACCTAAAGTGCATACTTAGGCATAAGCACAGCTTGTTATATATAACTCTATGAGGGTCATATACTCTTGTAGCAAGGATTAGACCTTTGGCTATGGGTACTATTTTGAAGGTAAGCCTGTTAATCCTATCAGTTATGAAATGACCATAGCTAGTCTGTCATGTTACTCTTACAAAGGGGGGTGGGATTTGAGGGTAGGACAGAAGGAGAGCACTCACGTAAAACTAATTTCAGTATATCTTACAAGCAGGATGTCACAGCTTACCTCTGGTAACATGATGAGGCTGAATGTCAGGATGAAGAGAACCATGTTAACGCCATACATCCACCTCAGGAACAAGAAGTATGAGGCCACTGATGAGCCAAACTGACCTATTGCAAAGAAAGTGCAAAGGCTGAAAGAAAGTCAAAACAACAACAACAAAGCAGTAACATTATCTTTGTGACCCTCCAAAGTAAATCTAGTCAGAAATAGAGATGGTTCCGTAATGAAGAGCTCTCACTACTCTGCTCCACCAGATGAGAAATTCAGCTCCAAGCACCCACATCAAACAACTCACAATTGTCTATTACACCAGCTCCAGGGAATCAGGCACCCTCTTCTGGGTAACCAAGGACCTATGCACATCTGCACACACATCCCCAACACACACAAATAAAAATAAAATTTAAAAACTGGAAGTACATCTGCTAACTGACATGCGTTGGACCATTTCATATGGGCAATTTTTCCACTCTTTTCTCCTGGAAAGAACATTTCAAAGGCATGGCAGAACTCCATCGGGAGCAGAATGAATCCCTAGCTTTGCAGTAAAAGCAAAGTGCAGCCTTTAGGTTAGCAGCTACAAGTACCACACATGGTGTGTGCGTTAGTCCTTGAGTTCAGCAAGGAGACAAGTGGACACGGTAGCTCTAGTTCTATGACTCCTGCTGGGGACAATCACAGTGACCTCAGTGCTCCTTTTCTAAGACTCATGATAAGCACACCCTTCTCAAAAATCATTAACTGTACCCTCATGGGTGGGTCTAAGACCATCTGGGGCCGTTTCTCATCACTACTGGCATGTTACAGAGATGGTACAGATGCTGTAAGTCACGCCACACATCTTAAGTACATTCTGGCAGAGCTTTGCCTCAAGGCAGAGCCCAGTATCACAGGTGCTGTAGTGGCTCTGAGGAGTGAAGTTTCAGTGAGGAGCAGGAACAGCAAATATACTATATGTATCCAAACATATATGAGGATTACATAAAGGGTGTGTGAGTGAGAATTGGAGCCAGACAAGTCCTACAGGGAGAGTATTGAGAGGAGTTGCTTTAGATCAGTTTATGCAAAAAGGTGTTAGAGAAGATGATACTGGAGCAGGCATCAGAGGCAGCAATATGCCAAGCGGCAAAATCCTGAGACAGGCAAGAGCTTTGGGCAGTCAAAGAAAACTAAAGCCTATGTGTCTGGAATCTAAAGGAGGAGATAAAAGGTGGAAGATGCAGTTGAAGGGGGTGCCAAACCATGCTGGGTAGGGTGCCCTAACCCAACAGTAGTATTATTGTGAGATAACACTCTTGTACACTGTAAAGATCTGTCACTTGAATTAGTTTAATAAAACACTGATTGGCCAGTAGCCAGGCATAGGTGGGGTGACCAGACTAAGAGAATTCTGGGAAGAGGAAAGGCAGAGAGTCAGTCTTCAGCCAAATGCAGAGGAAGCAAGATGAGACTGCCTTATTGAAAAAAGTACCAAGTCACGTGGCTGAACATAGTGAAGAATTATGGGTTGATTTAAGTTGTAAGACCTAGTAAATAAACAGGTGTTCTGTAGTGGGAGTGGAGGTGAGACCGGCATGCCTCTTCACAATCCCACATGAGCTTTGGGTCCAGTAGACAGCAATGGGTGAGACTCTGTCAACTCTCACCTGCTCTAGGGGAAAGCAGAGGTCTGTCTAATTCTCACTGACTGAGAAGAACGTAGACACATAAGCAGAAAACATTTTCTTAAAGCTGTTATCAGTGAAATAAGAATAAGAATTCCAGGCTGGAGAGAGGGCCCATATTATGTAGGTTCTTGTTCCCCCAGGCTTATTGATTACCACTGTCAGTCACCCTCAGAGAATCTGTGCACAGTCACAGCAAACCCACATCAGTACCATTGATTCTTTTTATTGAGCAAAGTCCCCATAGAGAACCAGTGCTCTTCTTTAGCCCTGTTGCTTTGAAGCTTCCCCATTAGAGAAGGCTTCCAGTAGGTAAGGGGAGGCCCCAGCAGAGCAACTGCAGCCTCTGCTAGCTAAGGTGAGGCCAATGTCACATCCGTAATAGCACTCATTCAGACACAGTCTTTTTGTCAGTTACCAGTTCGTTTGTTCACACAGGACAAGAGCAGGCTTATGCTGTTTTGGTTTCTCAGTTTTGTGTCTTTGATTTTGTTTTTTTGTTTGTTTGGTTGGTTGGTTTTGGTTTTTTCATGGGGGGCAGTTAGAAACTTGATAAGTGGTCAGTCACAACATGGGTGTTTAGGAAGGAATCGGTTTCGATGAGCAAGAATATGTGTTCCTGTTTATAAGAGGACTAGGACTCATGGCTCCTTGTAAGGGTTATCTATGACCTGACCTGCCAAGATACTGCAACCATGTACACTGGCCTGCCTGCACAGCACTAAAGCGACCCGAACTCCCCCCAACCAGGGACATCTGACACAGACCTGGCCCCCGATGACTTCATACCATTGCACCGCTTTATCTCGGTTCTCTGGTAACAACTACCTGAGGGCTGCTCAGTCAGCCTCACTAGCAGTGTTTTAGTGACGCAGCCTTCATTTACTGGAAGAGAACAAGCCTGTGGACAGCTGAGTAAGGTTCTCTGTACAAACACGAGGGACCTCTGATGTAGACACCTGAGCATGGAGTCGCCCTTTTCCCCTCATCCTTCCCCCTTCCCTCCTTCCTTTTCTTTTCCCTCTTCCATCTGTCCTTCCTTCTGTCCTTCCTTCCTCCCTAACCTGCTTGTTTTTATTAAGCTTTTCTTAGTTGGTTGCCACCGTGGCCCTCACTCAGTTCTCACACACAACCACGGACAAACAAGCTCCTTGATAATAGATTTTGACATGCTTAAATACAGAAAGCAAAGTGCATAGTTGAGAAATCATCCCTTCCTCCAATACATATAGCTACATTATGGATGAAACCTATTTCTAAGATGAAAGCATCCAAACAAAAAGTTTGGGTTCTTCTAAAGCAGTTTCATAATTCTTATTTAAAGGTGAATTTGTTTGTTTTTGTGAAAGACAGAGTTTTTCTGTGTAGCTTTGGAAGGTGATTTCTTTACAAAATCCTAAGTATAAAGAAAATGAACTTCACTAAAACTGACTTTACCAAAACTAGTATGAGTTTAGAAAAGACTCAGACACAGTCAGAGGACTGAGGGATCCAGAAGGCCATGTTCCATTCATATTCAACCTACAGTGGGAGAAATGAACTAACAAGACAGAGATACTATAGCTGGTACAGGGGACAATTGGTGACATCTAAGCACCAGGATACCTTTTCCTATCTCAATACAAAAAAAAAGGGAAACAATCATCTCTATATACATAATTCTAGAAGTGTGTAATACTGGAGGCTGCTGGCATGTGCTAAAGAGGAAACTCTTATTTATGCTGTGTAGCTGAAAGAGTGTAAGTGAAAAGTAGTCCATTAGGATAGCGATGACATTGATGACTTGCATTCCTCAGTGGTCAGTCAGCCAGAACTTTACTGACATCCACTTCAGCTATGACTAGATGCTGATGGTGTTAAGTTTTATTAGTTAAGATCACAAAAAAATTGAAATAGGGACACTGAGAGAAACAGGGTTGATTAATTATAACCGAAATGTAATGAATCGGTGCTTTGGTTCCCTATTTGATCTCAGTGTGCCAGCCTGTTTAGTCAACCAGTCCCTAGGATTTGGAAATGCGGGTGATTAGTAAGAAGCCTCGCTTCTAAGGCAGTCCTCATCTGTAATTCTTTGCCTCCAATCTAGATCTCTCTTAATCATGATGGGATGGCTCCTCAAGTAGAACTATAGTTAAATTATTAATATGTAAAATAATTATGGAATAAACATGTGTATCTGGAAGAATATCTATAAATAATTTCTGAAGCTAAGGCTATTCAAATTCACAATTTGGTCTGCACCCATAAATAGCTAATTCTTTTAATATTTTTAAGACAACTGATAAATGCTGCTTTCATAGTACATTATAAATGTGTCAAAATTCTTTCATGTGTTTCAAAGTGAAAATTAAGTGCATGCATATTCTTGTCATGAATTTTCCTGTGTTTCTTTTAAATTAAAGATTAAGGCTTTACCTCTCCCTCTGGTTATTTATTATTAAGGAATGTAATTTGTAGTCTGTCATCACAAAGAATTTTTTCTTGACGGATGAGTAATAAGACACACACACACACATACCCATATATACACACACAAACACACACGTTTCTAAATAAGAAAGGCCAAATAAATGAGTGGTTTTATGAGTACAATGTAAAGAACATCATTCAACTCTTATATGATGCAATGTGTTTTCAAATGAGTCTAGGGGTAGAAAATTAAGTGACATGCTTACTTTTTGTCTCCTGGAGTTCATGGACCAGCAGGAAAGTATGACTTTTAGACTCTGTGCTTTGGGTTGCCTATTTGAACATATTTCTAGTCTGAGAAACAAAGCTACCATGGCATATTTTTGATACTATGGTCAACCCAAACTCTGTAAACTCAAGGTCATGACCACAGGGTCACACAACCAAAGTATAGCCATGAATAACTTATCAGCAATAAAAGGCTTATGAATACACGGTGACCAAAATTTCACTCAAAATCAAACTCGCAATGATCCCGCAGTGCCTCTGGCAATGCTGGCTTGTGCCGCACAGTATGACTTTATAGCAGCCTTGGTTCTGAGCACATGTTCCCGCTTGGCACCATGAGTGCCATCATGCCCACAATGCCAATGAGCGTTGCCTGAGATGCCTTCTTTGGATCTGAGAAGCAGTGAGACAGAAAGCTTCTGGTTTCAGAGAAACAAAATCATTTAGTTATATACAACAAAGGCTTTCCACGTTCTCCTACAGTCACTGCCCAGCATGTAAATTAGTATATATTTATATTGGATTCTGTTGGAATACTCAATGTTAAGAATTTCTATTTCAGTTACTAACTAGAACTTCATAAAAAATTATTGAATGAATTTTGGCTCAGGATTAGGACAGAATTTCTGACAATTTTTTAAATGTCCCTAAATACACTTCTGCCATTATGTACTGCATATTTATACAGAGCAGCATTTTCAGTGTTGATGAGTATAAGATCAAAATATCAATCCGTTCTGGAAAATGTTGATAATCTCTGTCCTGCAATATCAATTATTCAGCTGAGATTGAATTATATAAATACATGCACATCCACCTTAGTAATATAAAGTTTGTTTTTACCTTTTATATGTAAAAGCATATCTGTACAAAGCAATATTTTTAAATAATTTCTTAAGCCAAGTATGGTGATGCACACCTTTAATCCCAGCACTCAGGAGGCAGAGGCAGGCAGATCTCTGAATTTGAGGCTAACCTGTTGACCTACAGAGCTAGTTCCAAGATAGTCAGGGCTACACAGAAAAACCCTGTCTCAAAAACCCAAAACAGAAATTTTTTTCTTTGTGATTTATTCTCAGTAACTTTTGATTTGTATAACTATTTCATATGTACCAGGGACATTGACAAAATGGAATCACAAACAGAAAACGTTTAGCAAGCCCTGCTCTAATCTACTATTAAATAAAAGTAGACTTTGATTCTGAGAGAAAGTTATAATCTCCACTTGAAAGATATTCAGCTTTTTTTTAATTCATAGCTTTAATAGTAATGTCAGCCAGCATCTTAGTGGGTATAGATGATATCTGATTCAGTTTCTTCAGCAAAACCAGCAACAGTGAACCTGCAGTCATAAGCACTGACTTCCTTAAAAGGCTATCCTGTAAAACCCTACTGTATTCCCCAGAATATAGACCATCCCTGCATACTCTGAGGCTAGAATTATCAGATCAGTTCTTTAAATTAGGAAAACTGGAGAGTATCTGGCCCGTGCGAATCAAGCCATCCAGGCTTCCCTGTAATCAAGATGGTAATGACAGGAAGTTCAGACTCATTGACGAGTTTTTCCTTGATTCTGCCCATTGCTGGCCAAGCTCTGCAGAAACTCAGTGGAGGCTGCTCACTTGGAACTCCATTACAGCCTCATTTTATTGCATCCCCTCCTCTCAACCACCCACAATGTATAACACATGCCGAACCAAGTCAGGAAAGGCAGTTTAGCCTGTCTTTGTCAGTATCAATGGTGCTTTAAAAGATACCTAGAACACATTGGACTTTCCCTGAGCATTTTTGAAATCATTAATAAAAGCCAAGATCTCTTTGAAAATAACATGATATATATATTAAAATGGTTATAATACTCAAAGCAATAAAAATAATGTGTCTGAAGTTTCTGTATAATTAAACTGCCATTCCTTTCAAAGAAAGGCATTCATGTTATTTTTCTAATGAAATGTATTTTATAAATTGGGAACATATTTAGTCAACTTTATTCTAAATATGAGAAGATAATTAGATAGGGAGATAGTAACAATCTGTTTTCTATTTAAATTTTGCAAAAATTATTACTCAAAAGCATAAATGATTTTACATGCCACTACACATCTAAAACTCAGTATGAGTTTACATCATGTGTTGTTTGGTTGGAAATGACTACGTATAACAACTAGCCAAACCTGAAGAATTCCTAGGAAGCCATGGATATAGCAATAGAGGATCAGAGCTGCAAAGGACCATCCAGAGTGTACAAATGGCAGAGAACTGGTTCCCTGTCACATTGCTTTTTCTTTTCCATTCTTTCTTTCAGCTTCAAAGACCATCTTAGAAATAAATTTTTTCCAGTCTGGCAGAGTAGTTTCTATAAGATAGTTAGTCCACTCAACAGCTCAGAAAATACACTTCTTCATATTTCATAAATTCTGCCTCAGACCATAATCTGAATAAAGGTTGTGTGCTTGTGACCATGATTAACACACTGGAATATTACAGAACAGACATGTGTAATGAAAATAACTTCCTCAGAGTAAACATATGAAAAATGAAAACAAATTCCCCAAATACAATAATAAATGTCAGTGGATTCTGCTGCACTCCTCCCCCACTGACCTGGCAGAGGTGTGAGTCAGGCATGAAAAGAAAGAAGCACCTAAAATCTTGCTCAATGCGAAAAGCTACACATGCTGAAACCTGGCAGACTTTCTCTTGCAGCCCTGCTACAGCTGCATTCAACACTGCTATGCTCTAGAGGAAGGAAATGTACACTCACAAGCACACGGAAGAGCAGGTGAAGGGACATTGGTGGAGTGTTGGACCCATGGTGACGATGGGTAAGTTATAGTTAAGATGGTGGCTGATAGTAGGCCGGTCCTACACAGTTGAAGGAAAGGCTAAGTCCCCGCGAATAAACAGGGCACCACACAAACAACAGCTTATACACGGAAAGGGAAATAGTCTCACTTAGTTAGCTGACCCACCTAACTGCTTCAAACTTCCTAAAGGAAGAAGAAACATAGCTGATGGGACTACAAGTGGCTTTTGTCATGTCTATGAAACTCCTGATAGCTGGTGATGTGCACACACGCACGTGAGTTTGGTGTGTGTGTGTGTGTGTGCGTATATAAAAAATTCTTATATAGTTCATTTTTATATACAATTTTAATCAATAAAATAATTCAACCCTTTCGATAAAACACAAATTAGCATGTCTTTGCTATGGAAATAGGCTGGAACCTACATGCTCCAGTGTGTTTAAAAAAGAAACACTCTATTGATGTGTGTTTTCTTCCCATCTATACCAATACCAAGTTTCTCAGAACACATCTCACACCTGATCAAGAAGTGCAGTAAAGCCCAGAGGACTCAAAAGACTTGCTGAAAGGTACACAGCCAATCCTGGGCAGAAAAAGGACTAACCTCACCTCCAAGTTTTTCTTTAAATGTGTTCTCTAATGCTTAAATTACATTAAGCTTTTAACTTGTGTGTGCTCATGTCATGATGCACATATAGAGGCCAAATGACAGCTTACGAAGTTTTTTCCCTCCTCCTTGTGGGTCCTGAGGACTGGACTCAGGTCACTGGCTCAGTGAAACTTACCCTCTTAAGCATCTTGTTGGCCTTTGATCAGGATCTTAATGTTCCACACGCTGTGTACTTAGGGGCTACATTAGATATTTCAGCTGTGCCAGAAACCTAAGGATTCTATAATATCTCCTTTTTTCTCATGTTCATGAAATCCCTTCTCTTAATATCTAGTGTGATATGGACCTTTGGAAAATACATCTGTAATTTTATTCAATGCATGTTTGTTGAGTACTAAGTGGAATTCTGATATAATCAAAAATACCTGCTTTCATATCTATTAAGAAAAATAAGCATAAAGTATAGTGAGAATATAATTAAAAGATTCACTTTAAAAGGTAGCATTTTGAATAAGGAGAAGAGCTGAACGGAAATCTGGCAAGAAAGTACACTATGAAGACTGTGTGGAGAGACATGAAAATCAGGAGTTGATGTATCTTAATTCACTGTCATTAACAACTGTCAGTTAATGAGGGACTAAAAACTGAGAGACAGCCACTTCCTAACATGCCCAATCATGTCAGAGAACTGGCTATCAGCTGCTTTATTTTCATGTGGAGCCTCTATATCAATTATACTATGTCATATTTAGCCATCAGGATTCTGATCTGAGCAGGCATTGTTGAAAGTCAGATCCTTACCATAACCCTAGGAACTACACCTGCCAAAACTGTGATTTCCCCCGAATATTCATTTTTCTCTATGTATAATATTTTTACTGATGTACTGCTTTTTATAATATTTAAATTTTTACTTGTTCTATTCTATGCAAACGTGACTATATTAAACAAGCCTTCGCCTGTCTGTTCTTACTGAGCGTTGCGCAGAAAGTAAAGGTCCATTATGAACATCAAGGTAGCAAATGTTTTGTGTTTATTCTTCTTTATATGATGTGAGATTCCCCTCTGTATGCTGTGAATACCATTGGCTAATAAAGGACTGCTTTGAGCCTATAGCAAAGCAGGACAGAAAGACAGACAGAGAAAACTAAAGTGAATGCTGGGAGAAAGAAGGGCTGAGTAGAGAGAAGAAAAGCCATGTGCCCCCGTTGGAGCTGGATGAAACTTTACCCAGTAAGCCACTGTCAAGTGGCGATACACAGATTACTAGAAATGGATTAAATTAGGATATAAGAGTTAGCCAATAAGAAGCTAGAGCTAATGCACCAAGCAGTGTTTTAAATAATATAGTTTCTGTGTGATTATTTCGGGTCTGGGCTGCCGGGCAGCCAGGAAACAAACAAGCAGCCTCCTTACAACATTTATAAGATTGAATGTGAGCTATTAAGACTTCTCTTTAAAATTCTTGCTTTGATTATTGCCTAAAGTTCCCAACAGTATATATTTGTAACATATTATCTACTGCCTTCCCAGTATGCGGCAGTGTCATTGTATAAAATACTTCCTTTCCTGTCTAAGAGACAAGTGCTTTTGCCCAGAATAAAACAAGGAAGTCAAGTCTCCAGTGCTGTCCTTGATAAGTGCTGGTACAATGTGCACAGGTCGGGTCTGGAATGTCCCCACATGCTATATTGTCAGCTGTGGGATTCCTGGGAGGTAGTGGCATCTTTAGAAGGTGGAGCCCCAGAGTAAGGAAGTTAAGTCACTGAGAACACAGTTCCAAAAAGGATACAGGACCAAGGCCCCACCTTGTCTCTCACTCACAGCCTTCCTGCCTTGAAGTGATCAGGCTGTGGCTACCACACAACTGCAAGATTACATGACAAGCCACCACGGAGGGGCCTAGCACTACGGGGCCAGCTATGTACAGCAGAAAGCTGAACCTGTAAGTCAAAATAAACATTCTGTCCCTTTGAGTTCACTACATCAGGTGTCTCCTCTCAATAGCCAGCTGACTAACAGCAAGCTTCACAATGACAGAGTTGAGGTCTGCCCCGGTTCATTGCGTTGGTGGTTTGGTTGGTTTTCAATTTCCCCAAGAGTCCATAAACAGGGAAAGGTCTGTGAAAAGCTCACGAGATTTTATTTTTGGGGAGCTTTCCCGCATCTCATTGCAGCTGGTGAACACTTACTTTCAATGGCCTTGATTTTGTTCTCCCACGGAACACAAGCGGCTTTGAAGTTTTCAAAGTCACGAAGGAATTTTGCCCATTTCTGAAAATAAAGCCAAACACTAGTAAGGTAGTCTCCTGTGTTTCTAGATGTTTCTTCTCCTATTCCCCAGATCACAAGAGTGACTTCAAGAGAGCTCTAGCACCAAAACTAGTGCTGTTTAGTATAAAGGAAAAAACGACAGGCTCCACTTCCTTTCCTATTTCTAGCCATTCCTACATAACTTAAGAAAAACGTGTTATCAGACATGCTTACAGTCCCTGGGAAACTGACACAGAAGGATAGCAAGTCAAGGACAGTCTGAGGAACAGTCACACACAGGTCAAAAGCAAACAGAGTATACCAACCACTCAGAAAGATCTGCTTCTTCTTTCAGACAACAACAGAATAGGAATCGCATCATTAGGGTGATTGATATAAATTCTTTGTTTAATACTCAATGCATGAGGAACCAATGGATTATCTTTCTAGAAAGATTTCTAGTCTTTATTTACAATTATTACGTACACGAGATATTTCATTTTTATAAAAGAGAATAGTCAACTAAATAGAGAGGGAATCACAGACTATAACAAATTCATTTTCCCAAAGGTCTGCCTTCTACTTTATAGTGTTGGGTGAGCTGTGGTCAAGAGGACTAAGGAGGAATGGGAATGAGGCAGATAACCTTCCATATGTGTTCATTATAGCAGGACTGTCTGAAAGATAAGTAGACACAACCATCTAACCCTGAAGCCTAAACGATTTTTAAAAAGTAGGAATGTCCCAAATGCCAATCTGCCGTGGAATGTGTGAATATGTAAATTGTGGCATCTTCATACAATGCACAATGTATTACTTTTAAACATGAACTGTAAATCCCCAGCAATGGAATTGTATCTCGTGACCCCAACCATGCAACAAAGAAGGCACAAACAAAGCTGTCACACACAGTATGACTGAATGCATATAAAAGATAAAGAACAAGTAAAGTTAGCTATTCATGTGCATTTAAATGAAAACGAAGATCTTCACACTGCCCTTGCAAAGCTCTCTTTCTCCATCAAATACACTTAGCTACAATTTTTACAGCATAAAATCTATGGACCTACTTCACTGTAAGAAATGGAATTTTATAGAGAGGATCAGTATTGTGTGTGGCCCACAGCAAGTGCATTTAAAAGTAAGCCTCTTGCTGTATTTGTTATTCTTTTGGTCTCTGGTCCCTTTAAGGGGCAAGCCACACCCACTCCCAGCCACTTCTGACCCCCTGGTCACCATCTTAACCTTTTCTCTTCTGTCCCTCTCTCTCGGCGTGTGCACGTGTGTCTTTTCTGTGTCTCCTCTATGTCTGTCTCCATGTCTCTCTGTCTCCCTCTTCTTTAAGTAATAAATGTTTACCTTTATGCTTAGCCTTATGTCTATTTATTATGTCCTGTAAGTCTTTTATCCGCCGCACCTGCCCACCTGACTCTCCCAGCCGCATGGCGGGATCAGCCTGCCACCCTGGGGATCTTGCAGGGACCCACAGCTGTCGTTGTCGGACTAGCGGCTGCTCTGCGAGCCTGCCAGCGCATGCCAACACCATTATATTTTTTAAGAACAACAATATTTCTCCCAAATCTGTATTTTTATAAATCTATCATTTTTGTTATCTTCTTTGCAGTATCTAGTTGAGGTTCCTGATAGAAAAAGAAAAGGGGTTGGGGAAGGATTGCTTATAGCAGTTTAGCTTACAAACATTCAGGGAAAGAAGCCTTGAAAAGAGACCCTGTAACCTTTAGAAAATGAAAATAAAATGGGTGTTCAGTCTTTGACATCTGGAAGTGGTAAAATCAAGTTAATCCCTTGGCATAAATCAGTATTTGTAACTATTCAGTATTTTTAGTATATCTTAAAGAGTAATCTTAAATCCCACCAAAAATTTTAATACAATACCATATACCGTACGAGTCTTTGCTGTATGTGTGCATGTGTAGAGTTAAGATTGGTTTTAGCCCCTCAGAACAGAAACAATGTTCTCTCTCTCTCTCTCTCTCTCTCTCTCTCTCTCTCTCTCTCTCTCTCTCTCTC